AGCAGTAGAGGGAGTAGGTTGGGGGTTCTTCCTAGCCTTTTTCCGTTTACCAACCCCACCAGCTGCCATAACTCTGCTATTATCCATGGGTAGATCTGGATTTGGTGCTGAAAAATGACAAAGGAAAATGTTAGTATCGAGCGGCCTTAGCGTGTGAGAAACTAGAAAAAAGAAAAAAAGAACGTTTCTCGCACGGGAAGGACCGCCCGGACCATGACACTTGATTTCTCAAAACAAGTAAACCCAAGAGAACGGGCAGTACCTATCCCGGCTTCAACGAGCCGATCGGGAGTCAGATAACTCATGATGTCCATGCATTTATCTTTCTCCACAGTAAGCACGTCCTTGTAAATTTCTTCAGTAAGGACTGGATCAGGAGTCTTGCGGGGGAAGGCATTCCATTTGCGGTGAATTAGGCCGTCCGGGACAGACACGAAGAAAAACCGGTCTTTCCACCCTTTGATTGAAGCTGGATTGCCCTTGAACAGAATATGTCCCATTCGGGCACTAGTGGCCAGATAGCCGTGGGTTTGTTGAGGGGCTACCTTGAAAAATTGATGGAAGAGTTCTAAGGTTGGTCGGGCACCGGCATCTTTACAACGGCAAATAAAACCCGCCATTGCCCGATAGGAGTTCGGCATAATTTGGGCCGGTACAACTTCATAGAAATTGAAAAATGAAATGAAAAAAGAATGTAGCGGAAACCTAAGGCCGGCCCTAATTGAGTCAAAATGAACTACAGTCATTCCGGGCCTATGACGCATTGGGTGAAGCCCAGCTTGCATACGGAAATTCACTGGGTCAGGGATAAGGGCCGGAATTTCGGCCCTATTGTGGGAGGTCAGTTTTTGCCGCCTCTCCCTAATCAGTTTTAGGTCAAGGGTATGGCGAGGGAAATCGTTGGGACATCCGGCCGCCATGGAAGCTAATTCGTCCTCGGATTTGGTATCGTCGGAATCTTCACTGGAGGAAGAAGAACTGCTAGAGGAGTCGCTTGTCTCCGCCCTAAGCTCCGCCGTCGTGGCCTTGGAACCTTCATCAAAAGGGACGGTGATAATCTCCACATCACGGTCCTCCCCTTGAGAAGCCATTTCCGAATCAGAACATTGTTGGGAATTCATCTCGACCGAGTCAGAATTGAGGCGAGGGAGAGTACCTGAGCGACGAGGGCTGGGAGAAATTTCAGAAAAAACGGCAAGGCGAAGAGAATTGCAGAATCGAAACCCGGATTTGAGAAGTTAAAGGCTAATTTATAGCCTTGAAACCGCCGTGTCAAGGACCAATCAGGGGGCAACACGTCACTAGGAGCATTTAAGCTAAACGCGTGTCTAATGAAAAGACTAAACGACGGTTACCATGATGAATATGGGGGAATGAAACGAGAGCCGTCAAATCACGGCATGGGGAACTAACTACTTCTGTACCCCGATCGCCATTCGGCGAATTGCAACATTGGTATTCATACTTCCTAATGCACTCACTGTCGTTCGAGACATCGGAAGTGGGGGACTTGTGTTGGGATATTGATCCAGAGGCCCAATACCCGGATCAAGAAGGCCCAAGATACCCGGCCCAAGCAACGGGCCCATCACTCTATGATGAGTAGATCCAGTGAAGAATTCATGCCGAACGAGATTCAGGCTATATATCATACTTGGGCCAATTTGAGAGCGTCTTCAGCATAGTCCAACATCCCGTTTGAGCAACGGACAACCGGCAAGTGGCCATGTGCAATTAATGCCAGATTGTGACATCAACAAGTGGAAACATGGGTGACCAAGTCGGTGGAACAACAGCCAACCAGCATAGGACAGCCCATGCTCTCCATTAGTATAAATAGAAGGTTTAAAATCATTGTAAGGGTTAGCATTTCAATACTCAGGCTCTAGAATAGCATTATTGCTCTTATTTCTTGTATTAAAGCATTGTTTTCGACCTACCGATCGGGAATTTCCTTGTAATCAGACTGGTTAATTAATACAAGTGAGCTTTCGAGTATTAGTGAGTTCATATTTTATATTTTGGTTATACACTTTGATTCTGTACCATTCCTGATATATCCAAAGTTCGTGTTGGGCTTTCGGATCTACGGGATTTACCCTCAACAGATCTGATTCTTAAAACTGCTTCTGCTCTTTCAGGAAGCAGAAACAAAAGTTGGAGTGTTTGGGTGATAGTGCAAAAGTAATTTTGGTGCTCTAATTTACTCCTAGAATCAGTTTTTTAGAAGCGGGGGATGACAACCTTCTGGAAACTAATTCTGATTCTGTTTCTGCTCTAAAAAAGAAGCAGAAGCACAATCAGTTCCAAACATGCTTATTCGATATACTATCGTATATATTTGAGAGAGATGGAGATATGAAGTCATTAGCTCACACAGAATTGAAAAAGTTGCTACTAACTTCCATAGAAGGAGAATAGATGCAACAAAGGGAAAAAGAAACTAGTGGGCGCTGGCAAGCTTTCGTTGACAGAAGGAAGTGCCTCGTGCTGAAAATTTTAATCTCTCATCCCAGGAACCCCCGTACCCCGACTCGACAGGATTTTTGAGAGTATGTTAATCACGGTGATTCAGTCGGCCCAATGATGGTAGGCCTTTTTCCCGTGCGCACCAGAGACCCAGCCTCATTTCAGGTTCTGTGACCTCCACACGACTGCTGCGGGTTTCGAACCATGGTCACTTGGTCCAAATTTCCCACCACTGAACCAACTGAGCTACCCGTGCGGGTTTTTCATTTCTCTTATCATTAGAGATGGTGGACCGTATATGGAATGGTACATTTTAAACCCTTTTAGTGAAAGGGGCAATTTTGTACCTTAATAAAACACTACATCAAAAATAATTTTGTTTGCCAAACACTCCAACTTTACCTTTTTTTGTAGGAAAAAAGGTAAAATAAATCCTTCTACAAGTTCTAATCCATCACTTAAGCCATTTTACTAAAGAAAACATCATATAAGTACGCTTAGTTTTTAAATAGAATCAATCAAGGCATTTTGACATGATCGATATAGCAGGGTATTTTAAAAAATAATAATTAGGAGTATTGATAAATCTTATAAAAATTCATATAAATTTGAAAAATAATGTAATAACAATATAAAATAGCATAAATGTAAAAATAGATAAATAATTTTTAAACTTAAAAAAAATCAGAAAATTAGAAAAAAAATAAGTGAAAATGTAAAAAATAAAAAATATAAAATGTAAAAAACTTTTAAATAAATGTAGAATATACAAATAATTTCAAATTTCCAAGATTTATGACTTTGACATTCTGAATTTTTTCACAATATTTATCTATACTTCTTCAAATTTTAACAATTTTTAGAGTTTTTTAATATAAAAAACTGCTATTATAGGTCAAAAATTGAATAAGTGGTCAAATTGATCAGTTTTATTTTAAAGTAAGTGTATTTATATAATACCTTTTCTAGTGAAGAGCTTAAGTGACAGTTTGAGAATAGTAGACGGATTTATTTGACCATTTTCCCTTTTTGTATAATCACTTCTATTTACAAAAACTATCCACTTTTATTATAAATCACTTTTCCAATAATCTCTTAAATAAATCATTTTTAAGAAGCACCAGCAATAGCAAACTTAGCGTAAGTTGTTTGGTGCTCATATGTGTTCCTCGTAAATATTATCAATTCTTAGGAGTGTTTAGTTAGAAAAAGTTAGTAAACTGAAGAATAAACATTTAATTATTTAAAATCCAAGCAATAAATACTACCGCTTTGGTACCTTTTTAAAACAATAACTTAGCATATATCATTTTAAATTAATTAGGTTTTTATTTATAAAAGTAAAATTAAAGAAAACGGTCGATGTCATTGGAACGAAGTGTTGCTACTACCACTATAGAGAGTAATGCAATATTTTATGATTACTTTTGTCTTGGTTGGAAAATTAACTTTTCTTTTTCAGTTAACAATGCTTTCCTAATGATAACGTTAGCCCTCTATGATAACATTCATTTAGTATATATACCAAAGATTTACATCTTTCGGAACTACATGTAATTGATAAAATCAAAATTGAGTGAAAACTTCAAAATTGGTACATCTGAGTACCACTTGGAATTGAATTTAGCATTTTGAAAGAACTCCGACTTTACCGCTAATCTTTTTTTTATTGACATCCGGTATCCTCGATTACCCGAGACTAATCCGGAGCCTTGTGACCCTAGCTGACAAAGGACCACAAGGAGGTGAACCAACGTAGGTTGTCCATAACTGACCGGCTCACAACTTGGGGAGGTGACAATAATCGCTCCCATTACAGGATTCGAACTTAAGACCTTAGAATTGCCTCCAAGATTTAAGTCCTATGAAATGACCATCTAAGCCGGGGGTTGCCCCACTTTACCACTAATCTCAAATGTATCTTATGATGACATTAGTAAGAGACACTTGAACATGAATTTGAGTGTTTGAAATATACATGCAACATAATTTGAACTATAATATCCCAACCTATAAAAATGCATTCTCCATGTGCAATATATGAGAGAAAATATCCATTCCATAATCAAATTCCACAATTTGACTTTCATGGTCTTCAAAGTTGGCGTCTTACGACATTTAATACAATAAAATATAGTGCACCTTTTATAAGATATATATATATATATATATATATATATATATATATATATATATATATATATATATATATACTACGTAATAAATTAACATTTCAAAAATATACTACGCATATTCTGATATTCATGTAAAGCCAGTTCAGACTTTTTTTTCATGTTGAAAAGTAAAATGGATTTTAAATAGTTAATCTTTATAGTTATCAAAGTTTGACTCCAAGAAATCCATTTATAGACCTCTTTGATACTACCCATACAAAAATGTTTGGCGTGGCTATACTTTTCCTCAATTTACGAGAGTAGTTGAAATATAAATAAACCCCTTTTTATAGCGAGTTTATAAAAAATGTGCAACTAATAAATACATATATAGTGACGAGTAGCATATATTATTACCCTTTCTGTTGTTCCAAGTTCAACTACGCCGTCCAATAGAGGAATGCAAACAACAGTCTGCAAGCAACGTGGCATTGTTTATATAATTTTGTAACATACTAGCTAGTTAATAATTGAGTAGAAAGAATCTCTACAAAAAAATTACGGGATTGACACGGAATTTGACACGGATTTACTGATTTTTCATACCAAATAGCTCGTGTCAAAGTGTTTTTGGCACGGATTTGGCATATATCTGCCAAAATCCATGCCAGATCCTTGCCAAAATCTCTGTCAATCCCATGTTTTTTGTAGCGAATTAATAATTAAGTAGAAACATAATATTCTTTAATAGGCAACATATTCTATTTAAGGTGTACGTAATTATAATTGTAAGTTTAATTTATAACTACATAAGTACATACATATATACATACCTGTATCCGAGCACTCTATTAAAGGCGAGCATTTCATATGGCGCAGTACCATTCATGTTTGTACGTACACACGGATAAATAATAAATATAATTAATCAAAGTGAATAACAAAAATATATGTATACACTATACTGTACAGTAAAAAAAACAAATGTATACGAATTGAAGTAGTGTATGATACATAAAAGAGTTGTCGATCATGAAAGGATGAAACCATAATACTTCCTTCCTCCCAATTTACTTAGCATCTTTGACTATTCCAGTCAAAGGTGGTAAACTTTGACCAATTATTTAAACTAATATATTTATGCAAAATTTAATAAATTTATACTTTTATTATAGTATTTTTAACAAAGAACATTTTCATATCATTTTCATATTATTAATACTTTCTCCATATAAACATATAATCGGTCAAACTTGAAAAGTCAAATTTGACTAAGTAAAATGAGACGTAGGAAATATATAACATGCAAACTTCATTATCAATGGAAACTTTTCTATCTTTGTGTTTCACTTTCTAATCGATGAATAATGTCAACAAGGATGACGATACACTTTTGTAGACGCTTTAGAATCATTGCAAAAAATTAAAGTCTTCTTCAAATTTTATTTTAAATAATTCTCAAAATGTCACTTCACCTTAATTTTGGTTTAAAAACGAGTAAAGATTAAATGTTTTGATTAATTATAAGATGTTCTCGTAGTGGGGATCGTACATATTTTCATCAACATAAACTCTTTAATTAGCTAGGATGATACTTAAACATGGGACTTCCATTTTGGGAGGACATACCATCAAACCACAAAGTAATTATCCATCGTTAACAATTTTACTACCTCCGTCCCGGAATTATCTCCTTATTTGTCTGGGCACAAGTTTTAAGATAGTGGAAAATGAGTGATGGAAAGTGTGCAGAGAAAGAGAAATGTGTAAGAATGATTGTGAACCACAAATTCTTTGCCAAAAAAGGAAAAAGAAGATAAATTTGGGACGGATCGAAAAGGAAAGAATGAAGATAATTCCGGGACGGAGGGAGTATTATACTAGTACAAATTTATATGAAATAATTGCTTTTGTAATACTCCCTATCGGAGGGAGTAATAGACAGCTAGCCAAAAATAAAATGTTTCATGTCTCGAATAGTACTCCCTACTACGTACTCCCTCCGTCTCATAAAATTCTTCCACCTTTCCTCTTTGGGCTGGCCAAAAAAATTCTTCCCACTTACCATTTTTGGACAATTTGTGTGGTTCATATTCATTTCATCTTTTTCTTACACAACCACAACCACACATTTCCACTTTATTCCATTTTTTTAATCTCCGTGACAAGTCAAAGTGAGAAGAATTTTCTGGAAGGGAGGGAGTGTTTTAGAGCTCTGTATGCATAAAAAAGTACATGTATGCATGTGCATGGTACCTTGGCGAGAATTGCCCTGGAAAAGTCTTTGCTTTCGACCTCATTTGCACCGGTGAGCCATAAATGATGCTGTATTGCATAAGCCTTTCCAGGCAACCTATACATGTATATCCAATTATGCATGCATTTAATTTCATGCGTATGTTTTACTTGTTGTTACATACGTAGTAATCAATTTCTTTTGCCAATAATAATAATTATCAATATTCAATAGCATATGTAGAAATTAGTTCAAATAGGACTAAAACTATGGCAAAAACCTAAAATAGGACTTGTTATGTTTTTATTCTAAAATAGGACCATATGAGTCCTATTGGAAACATACCTATTTTTGCATTCCATTCTTACCCTTCCATTAAATATGAATTAAAAATAGTCAAAAGCCATAATTAAATGTTTAATTCATAATAAATTCGAAAACAATTCAAAAATTCGTAGAAATATAATTAAAAAATTTATAAAATTTTTATAAAATAAAAAATTCAAAAACTTTTTTTTTAAATAATTTTATTTTTAAAAATATTAATAAAAAATAGTAAAACTCCGTAAAAAAAATTAAAAAAATATGGATGCCTTTCCCACCGCCTGTACTACCTCCCAGCACCACCACCTCCGGCCGATGAAAAAAATGCCATTTCTCCAGAAAAATGCCATTTATTTCTGAAAATGCCAAAAAAGTGACATATTTCTCTTTTCGAATGCCAACATTTTCATCTTGTTCTGCCATAAATATGGCATTCGTAATGAACTTGGCATTTTTCCCCCCTGGTGACTGGATGTGGTGGTGCTGAAGCGGCAGAGGCGGCGGCGATTTTTTTTTTGAGTTTTTATTTTTTTTTATTTTGTTTTAATTTTTTTAATTTTTTGAAAAAAAAAATTAATTGAAATTTTAATATCGAAATGTTTTTCTTAATTTTTTAGTATTTTTTATGAATTATTATTATTTTTTTTATTTTATTAGGAATTAAAACATTTTAATAGCTATAAGGGTATAATTGTCCAAGGTACACATAATTAGTCCTATGCAAACATAGTTTATTTTTTGGTCCTATTTGTGAAAAATGAATGACTTTTAGTCCTATTTTGATAATTAACTCTAGCATATGTTGTACGTAGTTACGAAAATATAGGGTGTACCAATAATATCTTTTTACACATTTGGATTTACCCATAAAAAATACAATGTTTCAATATGTTTTTATGATTGTGATCAATTTATCTGTACCAAATAGCATTACCATTTATGCAGAGCATTCTTCATAGCGAATACCTTCTTGAGAGCAGAGAGATTTCATAGTGTCTAAAATCTTGATATCATTATCAATGAAATTCTTCTTTGTTTCTCTATTCATTGTATAGGTGCATCGATATTTGTTAGCAACTGATTTCTAGGATTCAACATCTGCTATCAAAGCAGATGAGGTATTGATCGATCATCTTCATCATTCTCGCATCTTTGTATTCGACGAACAAAGGAGACATCCGATCATTAGTATTTTAAGCTTGAAAGCTTATGAAAACTATTATACAATGATTGCCATATCACTACAAAAAAATTACGGGATTGACACGGAATTTGGAACGGACTTACCGATTTTTCATGCCAAATAGCTCGTGCCAAAATCTCTGTCAAAATCCGTACCAATCTCGTATTTTTTTGTAGTATATTGCATGGATCATTTTCGAATACAATGTTTGTGTTTTTAACAGGTTTTGATAAAGGATCAGATTTCTTCAGAACGAAGAACAAAAGCTCGAAAGCCTAAAGTTCGAGCCTGATGATTGAAGTAAGAGTTCGAACTAATTTCTCGAGCTCCCAAAGTTCGCTCCAAAAGCTCGACCTCCAAGAGATCGAGTCCAGCTTCTCGAGGTCCAAGAGTTCGTAGTCTCTTCTCGAAATCTCTCCAAGTCCAAAGCTCGAGATCCCTAAGTCCGAACTATACTTCGTCTAAAGTTTTCAATGTCCACAAAAGCTCGAAGACAACACTTAAGTCAAAGTTCAAAGACCCAGGCTTGAAAACTCAAAGTTCGAAGTCTAGTTTTCAAAAATTTTCTAAGTAACTAAAACTTCTCGAGCCCCTTCTTCTCAGAACTGCTCAACTAATTAGATTATACTACCTCGAGGATCATTATCAGCAATGGACGCCCTATCGATGGGAAACGACACAAGACCAACAATTCTCCGGAGGGGAGAATACATGATGTGGAGAAACCGTTTTTTGAACTTTTTGGAGAGCAAAGATCACTCATCAAGTTTGCTAGACTCTATCTAGAATGGACCAGAACAGTTGTGGATTGCTATTCCAGGAAACCCTACGAATAACCCGCCAGTTGAAGAATCTCAAAGACTGAATATGATGAACAAGACTGCCTCAGAATTCGTGCAAATCTTCTTGCCAAAACCTATCTCCTTCAAGCCATCCCAAATGACATCTATATGCAGATTGACAACGTGTCCACTGCAAAGGAGATGTGAGATGTGATCTTCAAAATCATGCAAGGAACTGAAATAGACATTAAGGCAAAGAAGGCAAACAATTTCACTGCTTATGACTCATTTAAGGCAAGACTCGAAGAATCTTTAGAAGGTACCTACATTCGCTTTCTGAGGCTTGTGTTGACACCTTGGTTGACACTTTGCCCTTAATGCTAGACAGACCTTCCAAATCTGCTCCTAAGGCTCAGAAAGATAAGATGAAAGTGGTTGCTCCTGAAAGTAAATAAAATGAAGAAGAAGGATATTATTCTCAAAGTGAACTTATGGATTTTTAGAAACAGTCGGCGCTCCTGACTTCTAGGTTAAACAACAGAATTTTAGGAAGAAGAACTCCTCTTTCAATAGGGTCCGCAATTCCTCATCCAGCTTTAAGCAGAAAGATAGACCATTTGACACTTCTGAAAGAATGGAGGCTGTTGAGGATTAATCCCGTAGATCCGAAAGTCCAACACACGCTTTGGATATTTTAGGACGTGGATAATGATTTGTGTGTAAGAAAATATAAAATCTGAATAATAATAAGCTCAAAGCCCACTTATATTATGTAATTTGCTGAATTACACAAGAACTTCCTGAACGGTACGTCGAAATAGTAATTAATACAACAATGATAATGAGAAAACTATTCTAGGCCTTGAGTATCAAAATGTTAACCCTTTAGAATGAGATTAATCCCTCTATTTATACTAATGGGGGTATGGGATGCTCTATGCAAATTGGTAGTTAATCCACCGACTTAGACGCCCATCCTCCCACTTGCTGATGTCACACTCTAGCATTTAATACACTTCGCCACTTGCCAATGGTCCGTTGCCCGATCGGAGTGGTGGGCCATGCTGAAACGTTATTGATTTGGCCAAAGTATCTTGGCTGACCCGAACCCCGTTCGGTATATATTTCTCCCTGGGCCTGTTCATCTTCTGGATTCCGGGCTATTTATTGGACTGGACATATTGGGCCTTTGACCCCAGGTATTGGGCCTTCGGCCCAATATCCCAACATGAGTCCCCCACTTCCGATGTCTCGAATGGTAGTGAGTGCATAAGGAAGTAGAACTTTGTACACCGAATGGTGATCGGGATTCATAACTCCCTGGTTCCCTATGTCATGATTGGTACCTGGTTTTCGGCTGTCGTTTGATTTTTCCCATAATCGTCATGATTTCTGGCCTTTGCTTTCCCCGTGCGACACGTGTCCTTTGAAATAGTTCAGGCGATGTGTCTTCCTCTGGTTAGTTATAGATTCGGCGCTTGCCAGGCTATAAATGGGCCTTTGGTTCTCCGGTTCTGGATTTCGAATTTTCAAATCCCTTATGCTTTTGCTCTGCCTTCTCTCTAGAGTCTCTTAAGTTTTTCGCGTTCAGGTATTCCTCACCCCTTGATCTTTCCTTTACTCTTGGGTTCGATCGATATGTGTCCTCGATCACACTCCTCTGATTCGGAAACGGCTTCCCAAGGTGAAGACCGTGATGCCGCCATTGTGGACGTCATAACCGTCCCTTTTGTTGATGGCTCAAATGAGGCAACGGTGGAGACTAGGGTGGAGGCGGAATATCCTTCCGTCATCTCTTCTACTGATGATGATTCCGATGACACGAAGTCTGATGATGAAATTGCTTCCATGGCAGCTAGACCCCCAGATGACGTCCCTCGCTACAAAATTGATTTAAGATTAATCAGTGAGAGAAGGCAGATGACGTCCCCCAGATGACGTCAGCTCTTCTCACAATAGGGCTCAAATTCCAGCCCTAATTCTAGACCCGGTGGACTTCCGTCTTCGGGATGGGCTTCACCCAATGCGTCACCTCCCTGGAATAGTGGTGGTCCATTTAGATCAGTGAAAGCTGGGCTTAGGTTTCCCTTGCACCCATTCTTCGTGTCCTTTTTCAATTTTTATGAGGTAGTACCGGCCCAAATCATGTCGAACTCCTATCGGGTGATGGCCGGCTTCATTTGCCGTTGTGTAGATGTCAAGGTTACGCCTAGTTTGGATCTGTTTCATCAATTTTTTAAAGTGGCCCCTCAGCAGACCCACATATATTTGGCCGCAACTGCCTGAACGAGGCATATTTTATTTAAGGGCAATCTAACTTCAATCAAGGGATGGAAAAACCGATTGTTCTTCGTTTCCGTCTCGGACGGTCTATTTCCAAACAAGTGGAATGCCTTTCCTCGTAAATCACCGGATCCGATTCTTACCGAGACAATTTGCAAAGACGTTTTTGCAGTGGAGGAAGGCAAAACCTGCAATATTCTAGCGTATCTGTCCCCCGATCAACTTATCAAGGCCGGGATAGGTACTGCCCGCACTCTTGGGTCTACTTGTCTAAGAACCAAGTACCATGGGCCTGACGGTCCTTCCCGTGCGAGAAACGTTCTGATCCCCTTTGTTTCCCAGGTGATAAGACTGCTCGGTACTAACAATTTCCTTTGTCATTTTTCAGCTCCCAATCCAGACGCTACTATGGATGATAGCCGAGTGCTCGTTGCTGGTGGAGTTGGGTAAAGGAAGAAAGCAACGAAGAATCCCAAGCCCAAGCCCTCCACCACTACTTCTCAAAATGCCGGGTCTTCTCAGACCGTTCAGGAACCCTGAGCCTATTCAACAGATTCCTCATCAGGACCAGTTTGAAGAGATGTTGATCGACGATCGGTTCGGATCCGATCAGCTGCATCATTTCTCCAAGCACTTTCAGGTTGCTCAGGATGCCAACATGGATGCGGGTGAGACCCATACCGTCAACCTTTCTGGGCAGGTCGAACGGATCTCTCTAGCAGATTCCGTTCACGAAGTCTTAGAGAAAGCCGGTTCTTCTGCGAGCCAAATCTGGTCTACCTCTGCTTTCTTCAATAACTTTGTTGTTCCTAAACTGCCGGTCGAGCAGTCAGATGAGTGTTTGGCCTTAGCGGCTTTGAAGGTTCTTTGTTTTACTTTGTACTTTGTTTCATATTTTATCAGTCGTTCTATATCAATTCATTTTTATTTCCGAACGGGATCCTGTAGGTGGGGATATACAGTTTGCAAATGAGGGAGGCTCGACTGGCAAAAGAGCGGGATCTAATTATTGCCCAAACTTCTGCAGAGCAAGCTGCTGCTACTACCATTACTGATGCGGAGGCTGACCTGAAGGCTTTTGCAGATGAAAAGCAACGGCTCGAGACCGAGCTTGGCGAACTTAGGGTTCAGCTTGGAGCTTTTAAGCCAAAACCTTTGCTGCTGAAGCTGCTTTGGTGAAGTTTGAAGAAACAGCTCCCCGTATCCCGGACGGTCCTGCTGAGGTGAATGTTGATCTGTCCACTGTTCGGGACGCATTCAAAAGTTCTGCGGAATTCTCCGCCATCAAGGAGGAGTATGCCAGTGAGCAACTCCCTACTACCTTTGGTACTTATCTGAAGAAGTTTCCCAAAGGTATCGATCGGCTCAAGGCTGGTGTGAACATTCTTGATAAGGATCCCGAGGGTAAGCTGTGGAATGACTCCTTGACCGAAGATCTATATGTCAAGGGTTGTCAGCACATCCTTCGTCCGTTTGTGGCCCAGATGGAAAAGCAACTTGGGAGACCAGTTCAGACCTCCGACCTTCCACAAGTTGACATCGTTAAAGCCCAATTCAAACAGTATGAATGGGAGAGGAGGCGTGATGCCGCTCGGGAACTTGGGAAAGAACCGGAGTCCTCCTCATCGGAGGGTGAGGATAGTGATGAATAGACTAGTTTCCCTTTGTAATCCTTTACTTAGATTTGAACTTCTTGTACTTACCGGCCGGTAGAGCCGATGAATATATATGAAGTCTTTTTTGCTCAATGCTTTATTTAATTCTCTCTTTTGTCTTTGTCAATTTTTTACTTTACCATTCGGGAATCGGTCCATTTTATAGGACTTAGCAGTTTTTTATGTTTTTTTTGCTTATTCTTTGGCTTACCGTCCGAGATTCGGCAAGTTTTTTAGGACTTAGCCGTTTCTCGTGCCTTTTGATTCGTCCTGTTTTTCTACTGATCAGTATTATTGGGGAATCCTATTTCAAACTATTGGTAGGAGATCCTGTTCGGGTTGTTTTTTGCCATTCATTTGCTTGATTTCTATATTTTTCCGTTCGGGTTAATAATACCAGGACAAATCCTCTGTGTTGCTGAATGTCACCCGGAACCTACATCTTTATAATACCAGAACTTTTTTTTATCCTTTGTTCTTCAGATATTACCCGTTCGGGATATCTTAAGATATTTGGACTAATCATACGGCTTATGTCAACCTTGGTTCGGGATATCCCTTGATACGTTCATCGTTCAGTGTCCCTAAGATGGGTCCCTCAAAACTGTTAACTCGTTCCTCATTCGGTCATCCATTGATACGTACATTTGATCCGAGGATACGTTCATCGTACGAAGTACATGCTGGATTACCATAAATGTGTCATAATTACGCGCAACCATATTCTGCCACGTGTTCGTCATAGGTTAGGGTTTTGGGTGGTATCTTTACTTATAAAGAGAGGTGCTTCCTTTTTGTTTTTTCTGTTGCTTCTTCAATTTCTTCTTGCCTCTCTTTAAACTTTCTCTCTAGAATCTTCAAGCTCCCTGTTTTTTAGGTCATTCTCCTCCGGTTCTTTAGAAGAAGAAGTAATGTCGCTCATTCGTCGACCTAGAGGGAAAACTTCCCCTGTTATTAAAGCCAGGGGCTCATCATCCCAAGCATCTGTCCCCACAAATCCTCCTGCATCAAAACGACCCGAACAACCTCTTCCAGAAGATGGGTGCCTATCGGGCGATGATCTTGCTATTTACAATAAGGGAATGCCCGAACGACCACCCCGCATCCCTTTGCATTTCACTCCCATCCGGAAACAAAGGCAAAGCCTTCCTGAAGATGCCGAACGACAGATCCGCCAATTTTTACCTCCCCCTAGGGAATTTTATGCTGGGTTTATCAAGCATCCGATGAGGCACCGTCCGGGGCACGTGCTTGTTCATCTTGATGCTTTGGCTGCTGGGGTTCGCTTCTCTCTTCATCCATTTATTGTGGATTTCTTGTGCCGGATCTCTGTACTCCCCGTTCAGTTCGTACCCAACACGTACCGCATTTTGAATGGTTTCATCATTCGATGCCAAGAACTGAAGATCGCACCAAGTGTTGATCTATTCCTGTATCATTACTGCTATCAGCCCTACTGGACCACCGGGTACTTGAAATTAGTGGCTCGAGCCGATCGTCAGT